AGTTGAGGTGCGGCCTAGTGCTGAGTACAGGAGGACAACCTAAGGCATCCAATACCCTTAATGACAGTTTCCTAATTAGAAGAATGACAGAACCTATGATTACAGCTGGCTGCAGGATAACCTTGCTAATGACAGTGATAATGTTAATGGCAAGATACAGATAATCGATGGAGGATATCAACTAGACTGTGTGATGGTTCTACCCCTTGTCAGATGAGCTGGTGCTGGAGATCTCACTTGCCTCTGCAGGTGAAGCGGAGAAGCCTCTGCAATAAAGACATTACTCTGAAAGTTTCAGCTACCCTACACTGAAGTTGAAATGGCAGAGGAAAGCAGCACCTTGTCAAAGTATGTTTCTTAAGAGATAGGAGTTTTTACCAGCACCAAAGTGCAAAAGACAGGACTTGATGAGGTCTTTCCAGGTCTTTCAATTGCATGCAATTCTGCAACTTAAATTTGGATATTTTTCTTTATCAGAAAAATAGATCACGCATTTAGGGGCAGGTACCTCCACAAGGCAGGAAGAATCCCCCACACCTGAGCTGGAGCGTGGAACCCAGCACACACAATCGTAGGAACTGTCAGGGCGTTGTACTGACATCCTGTACGGCAATTCCAAAGACAACTTGCTGCAGAGCTAATGAAACAGAGCAGCGGGATGCCCTAGCTCAACAGGGCAATTTAAAGGAGCCGAAATGGCATTGGGTGTGCTCCCGCCCTGAATTCCATGTACCTCGAAGGAAAAAGGGAGAAAATATTCTTAGTCCTGACTAATACTGTATATGCATGCTTGGACTGCTACTTGAAGATGAACACCGCTCCTTCTGATATAGAGGAGGGGCCATGAAATGGGACAGGTACGTGGACTGGTTAGTAATATGCTTTGGCATCCATTAAGGTAAATCTGCAGTGTGACTAATGGCCTGCTGAATCAAACTGAAATGACCTCAACAGACTGAGAAAAGTAAGTAAAAAAAGATGGTAGGGATTGTATCTGCCAGTGGTAATGAAGGCACTCCATCACCATTTGATAAGAGATTTTAAAATGTGCAGATGTATATACACACATACCTGACCAAGAAAATACTATGCTTATTTATTTTTTGGTTATGAACCTCGTAACAGTTGTCTATGCTTTATGGACTGTAATTTCATTTCCTGACTCAGAAAAAGACGCCTGTAACTTAGGCTAGGGATTTTTTGTTGTTGTTGTTGCTGTCTTGATTTATTTAAATGGATATATCGTTAAAGAAACTACTTATCCCTGTGTAGTAGTCACGACGGATAACACTTAAGGACACCTCAGTCATGCATTTTCTGCCATAACACTACAGGGTTAATTGTTGAGATCAGAGCTATCTTCTGGTGGTTCTGCCCCACCTGAATGATCCACAGCAGCTGTGTGCCTCATTTAGCTGGCAGGTTAAACTGACCTTAAGGCTAATGGAGCAGGATAGCTGAAAGGTTCTTGTTTATCTGGCCCAACACATATTGTTTCAAGGGTTGTGTAAGTACTGAGATGCATCAGCTATTCTAGATAGATTTATACGCAAACTGCCTGCTTGCTGAAGCACTGAAAGAGTTGTAGCTGTAAGTGATTAAAAAATTATCTCTTTGTCAGGTCAATTAGAAAGAAAAAACAAGACTTAGAGGACCACATTAGGCTTTTTTTAAAAGCTCAGTTAAAGAATTAACATACAGATCTTGGTGTTGACTAGAAGTCACCCACAACCCGTGCATTTCCAGTCAATAAGAGTTTATACTGAACTTCAGATTTACTTATATGAAAACGGACCAGAAGGAAGCAGTACACAGGATCTGACGGTGTCTCACAAAAGAGAAAAGAAAATGGTACAAAGTGTCAGGAAATGGCTTAGAAAGATAACCTCCATCAAGGAGGTACACAGGCATGTAACAGAGGCAAGGAATCTGGCCAGCCTTTCTTCTGCACTGGCTCTTTTCAGTCTGTTTACCGAAAAAGTCTCACAGAACTCTTCCTTTCCATATGCCCTCAAAAGTACGGATCCAAATATTCAACATAGGAAAGCTCTTATCTTTTATTTTAGGAAACAAATGTGTTCATTCAAAGAATGAACAAAACACCTTTCAATGTACACTGTTAACAGTTTCGTTATTGTACAACACATCTGCATGTAGTTTTCGAGTGAGCGTCACTTAGCAGCTCTGAAGACACCTATATTCATGAGATAATGAACATTGACAATTTCCACATACTCTGCTTTGACAAGACAGGGACAAGTACCTCAGTAGGGTCAGTTCATTTTTTATCACTTCCTAGAACTCAAAATATGCTTTTTCAAATAATATTGTTTAAAAAAATCTAAATGTTTAAAAAAAAAAAATCTAAGTACATGCAAAGAAAACTGCTCCTGCCCTGAAGAGCATCCAACATCACACACACAACTGATGTCAACCAATACAAACCAAAATGAAAACAAATCCTGTGTGTATAAAAATTTCACCAATTGGCCAATTAAACATTCTTTCCAGAATCAAAGCACATGAAGACTCAAGAAAATGTGAGAAGAATACAACAAAATAAAAATCCAATCTCAATGAAAGACCTGTTTTTTCTAGAGGTAGTCAATTATCAAGTTAAAAATGTCTTTCAGCATTTGTCAAGTATCTTTACTCCTCTGCATTTATTTTAAATATAAACATGATTAATTTTTGTTGCAAACACATATTAACTTTTACTATCATACATCATTACTAAGACTCACCTTTGTAGTGCAGAGTTGCTTTTATATATAGCAGATGTGCCTAAGGCTAGCTAAGTGATTTTTCTAACACTGCTCAATTGGTAAATGTCGATTGTGTAAACAGGTAAGTAACTGATATGCTTTAATATTAAGAACGAAGAAGGTGGTGCAAAATCTCACTTGCAGCGTTTCAACAATAAATTAACAAAATCTGACTTCCCCATCAGGAGCAATATGGAGTGTCCTTGGTAAAGTTACAAAACAATGATGCACACTGGCAGAGAGTCTGGATGCAAGATGCAAGTAATTAGATAGGGATAAAACCACCTTTCCATTCTATACTTCACCTTAGCATCAACATCCTCTATCTTCTTACCAATAAAAAATTATCATCTTTGTCAAGGTCCTGCAAGTACGCTGCATTACAGTAAGAGCAAAGCCGAATGTTAGACACTGAAAGATGCCACATTCCAGTGGCACAGAAACTAGTCTCTGAAGAGGAGAAAACTCTCCTCTTTTCATTGAGGACCTTGAGATTTGCCTGGTCAAATGCAGCACGAAGGCCACCTGTTCAATTCTTTTCTTCCCAAACCAGCCTTAAATAATACTGGGATTATTCTGTACTGAATTTAGACTGCTGCATCTATACTAAAGACAACTACTTTTAAAAAAGTAGTATCAATGCACATGCAAACAATTTACTCTTTCTATTTCCGTATTGCCAACTGATATATATATGTATTTAAAAAATTTAATATGCACAATTTCTATGTATGTGTGTGCGAGTGCGCGCAAAGATAAAGATTTATTACTCTGGCCACAAATATCTCAGTTATATGGATCATTAATCATAACACTGAAATGCTATAGTTTCCCTTACGGATTTTATTCAAAGACTAAATTACTTATTGTGTCAATTACAATCAAAGCTTATTGTTTCATGCATGTATTACAACTTCCAAATTTCTTCCCTGAATTACGAGCCTTCTTTGTATTATCTGTGTATTCACAATAAAATTGCTGCCTTCTATGTGAGTGGCAATGACTGATGTAAAAGGACTGCTTTCAGTCTATGGTGAATAATCATTTAAGTCGATAAACACATGCAAAAATTAAAAGATCAGCATGCAGATAATATTGTCACCAAGCTATTTCTTAATACTACCAAAGAGATTTACTGGGTCACTTAGTCCTTTGCGGCATTTCAATAAAATAGGTCCCCTACCAGTACTGCATCTCAAATATAATATACCACATCAAGATTGTTACATGTAAACACGTTTTAAAAGTTGTGCCTGTGTAACCCTTTGCGCAGGAGTGTCCCATACTAGAGCAAAGAGGATTCGGACCCTCACATCCAAACCCTATCTCAAACTGCCCAGCAGCATGTGATACGAATGTTCTTATAACTGATTCGTAGACGAATCAGTTATAAGAACATTCGTATCACATGCTACGAATGTGATTTCTAGGCACAATCTAAACCACATAGTTATAGATCACATTATATATGGGTAGTAAAGAAAACACCTTTAGAGCCACTAACTCCAGTGGGGAGATCTATATGCAACAGAGTTGAAGGAGGCAAACCCCTCCTTTTAAAACATGCAGTTCACTATTAAAACATTATAATCACCTAAAACAAATATCATAAATGACAAATGTAAACTGTAAATTCATTCTTCCTAGATATATACGCTGCATACATAGCTTTGCTAACTTAAAACCAAATTCTTACCTGTTCACAAAACCATTGCCTAGTACAGAGATACCCTTCCCTACATGAAGAATAGAAACTATTGCAATAATGTGTCCCACACACAATGTTCTCAGTTCCAAATAAAAGAAAGCTTATTATTTTCTTTGGAGACGAACTCTCACCAATACAATACTGCAGATAGCTGACAGCTGCACTACACTTATCTAAGGAAAATAAACAAACTTACCTAAAGCACCTTCCACACAGTACCTGTTTGAAATACCTTAAGCACAACTCCCAACATTAACTACAAACAGCTACATAACTGAAAGAGCAAATAGGTAGGGAACTCAAAGTGACTTCAAATTTTTACAATGACAAGTAGTTTTATATAGTTAACAAGAAGGCAAAAGGGTGCAAGTTTGCTAAGTCATTTTGAGCAAGTCACAAACTGAACACCACAGAGAGTCCATTTTATCATCTGCTCAATTTAAAATCATCATGTTTATCTAACCATAAAATTTATTTGATTTTGAGGAACAGGAAGAATTCTTTAGATACACCACTTTAGTACTTACGGGTAAAATGATTAGAAGTGGATGGATTGACACTATCACCACTGTCAGCACTTTCACTGCTAGAAATGTCATCATCTGATTCCCGCACAGAGGAACAAGGTGAGGAGCCATCAACTTCTTCAAACTTCCTCTTTAAAATTCCACTCATCGCTGCAATGCTGTCACATGCACCTGTAACAGGAACAGAGGCAATGAGGCACTGAAACATTCAACTGCAGAATATGCAGTCATAATCTCCAAAGTCATTTTTACTTAGAAGTACTAATAAGTTGCCACTTCTGGTCTTGAATAACCATTTAGTATAAAATTAGATATAATTAATTAGGAGACAGTGAAGCCATAGGAAAGAAAAAAAGCATCAGAAGTCATACCCTAACTTGACATGTATGGAGATAGTTATTTTGCTGGAATAATGTGTAACAGATTGCTTTCAGGGAGTGTTTTTCCCACTTTGATGTCAATAACATCCCTGATTTCTAGGTTATGTTGTGAAATTTCCAACAAGAAAAAAAATGGGAGTTTCTTTTCAAACACCCTCACTTGGTCGCTCCCTTGGCTGCCATGGGAGGAAGAAATGTTCACAATCAGGGATGAAATTACATTAGAAGAAATAATTCTGAACGCTACAGTTCCCATTGTCAAATATACGTGATCTAATCAGTGTTCACATCACCCCTATAAGAAATCCATCTGATAATTCCAGTATTATGGACAGATAAAAGACAAGAAGTCACAAAGACCATATACCAATTTAGTGCTCAATAAATGCCTGGAATTCAGGAATTCCCCACTCCAGTCAAAGACACCAATTGCCTCCCGAACTTTCTCCTTCCCACATTAAGAAATGAGATGCTTAATATACTCCCAAGGCTGAGTAGAAGATTATAAAGCAAAGTATTCAAGCAGAAATTTAGCAGCAGAGGTAGAAATATAACATGAATTGCACGTAATTAAGGAGAAAGCGTACCCTTAACTAACTGAGGAGAGATCAAGGACAGCTGGAGCTTGCTCAGAGGACACGCAGCTGCCACCATGCTGCCCACAGCACTGCAGAGGCAAGCAGTGCGGATACTTATCCAGGCAAAAAGTTTGTCTAGGATCGATGACATGCTAGACTCGCTGAGTAGGACACACAACCTAGCACTACGGACTTACCACAGGCTTCTGCCAAATCCTACTGAAAGCAAGAAAAAAAAAAATGTGCATTCCTCACTGAAACAGAACTTTTTAAATCCCTGCAGCTACTTTTAGGACTCATTAATTCCAAGCCAGCTGCATTCTGTTCCATCCAGGAAGTTGGACTAGACAACCTCCAGAGCCCCCTTCCGACCAACATTTCTATGGTTCTATGCTTAAAAAAAAAAAAATCTGTCAGGGAGCTAACATATGCTGGGCTAAATGACTACTAGTAAGAAAGACAAGGTGAAGGCAGAGACTGCAGTACCGGCCATACTGTTTAACAATTAGCACATTTCAGAGTTTTGGCCCAGGCCACCTCGCATTCTCCTGGATAGCGCCGGATGAAGCAGGTGCCAGAACCATTCCCAGCAGGCAGGCTGGATGAGGGCACGCGGGTTTTGGCAGAGGGCTGACAATTTAGCCACTGTGGACAAGAAGTGTACCCTGCCACTTGGCAGCAGAAGCCAGAGAACACTGTCCTTAGCCTGCATCTTTTTTATTTTTTTATTAATATACACACAGACTTAGTGATGTAGCTGCTACGTTCTCACCCTGTAAGCACAGCACTTCAGTAGATCCTCTGGTATCTTTGGGCACACTTAGTCTAGTACCAAGCAGTTTCAATGTATCCTATGCATCCTATAGCTCCCTTCCAGCCCCAACACCAGTCTCCTTCCTGGAAAAAACAAAGCGACAGTGTGAAGAGGTTTATAACCAACTTGTGGCCTGATATGAAGCTTGAACAGGATAAAGGTGGGTATATGAAGCTAAAAGATACAAAAAAGAAAAATTTAAAAAATTGATGGGCTCACCAGGTTACAGAGTCTGTAGGACTAATTTAAAATCATAATCCAGCAAACACTGAAGCCTGTCTATAGGAAATCCTGGGACTGAGGTGGCAAGAGTATCATGGTTTCATTCCAGTGCAACAGAAAGTTAGTTCTAATTACTTGTTTTGCTTTGCTGACAAAGCGTTTTACATTGTCTGCCAGCTCCTGAGCACAGCAGGAGGGAGTTATGGGCAGGTTTAAAATTGCCTTTGTAAGTCAAAACTAGAAATCACAGATACATTATACAACATTTTTATGATATTATTTAATTACAAGGACTAGAACAGAAGTTTTGTAATAAGGGAGTTCGTTCACCTCTTAGGAAACAAAAGCTCTGAGAAGCACATACATGATTGCACCAAGTTTAATATCCTGTCTCCAGCAGTAGTCAGTATTTAACGCTTCAGCGGAAAGCAATGGGATGAGAAATCCAGCCACAACCACTCCAGATACACGGCTCTGCTTCCTCATCCTTGCAGTCAATTTCCCCTAAGCATAAGGCTGAAATGTTGCTATATGACAGCGCACAGCGTCTTATAAATTCATTTGACTTGCCCTCCTGAGGCAACAAGTTTCATATTAGTTTATTGGGGGGGAAAAACCCACAACAAAACGCATCTCCCGAAACTATAGCCACAGACCCTTCAAAATCACAGCAGTTTCAGTCTTTATGATATTTTGGACAGTGAACAGCAGCAGAAGCATGCCAGTGTCTAGCAGCATGCTATACTAGATAGAACTCCACACATACAGGTATTCCCCACAAAGTGGAAATAGCTGAAGAGAAGTCACTGAGGTCTTCTTGCTGCTTTATAGTGATATTTCCGTTTCAATCACCAATAGCGATTATCTTACATGGGAGGTGCAGTGCATCTGCTGATTCTGTACGGAATTAGGAAATGCCTTTATACTTGGGGGGGGGAGGTGCAGGGAGGGAATGGCAATGGAGGTGTAAATGGAACTGCAGCATCAAGTTACTCATCCCAAAGCTGAAGAGTCTGCCCGACTGCTGCAGTTGCCAGAAAGCACCCGGCGTGTTACACTCTCAATCTCACAGCTGTGCAACCCTTAACAGCCTGCCTCTGGAGAAGTCCCCAGGCTAGCATAGCCTCTTGCTGACACTATTCCACTTTTAATGTGGTAACTGAAGTGTTCATCAGCCAGAACAAGGAAGAGAAAGCGAGCAAAAAACTGTGCAGGTCTGAAAATACTTGCGCACTCAGTTACTATTCAAACAGATTCTTCCCAATTCTGAGTTAATGATTCCCAGAACAAGACACGGATTCCCATCAGAAGGTACCCAACTCTTGAGAGTAACGTACAGGGCGCACTGGTCCCTGATACAGCCATCTTGAGTCTGCTCTGGGAACTGGTGCCAGATTCCCTAAGGCCAGAAAATAGAAGCAGGGGTGTGATGTGCAATCTCGACAGGTACGCATTGCCACGCAACACAGTACGGCCACCACCAGTCACACCTGCCCAGTCTCCCCCTTGCAAGGGCACAGGGGCATACAAATGGCTGATTACTGTCTGTTGACTGAGAAACAGCTGCTTTCAATTGAGAATCCAGTAACTTTCAAATGACCCCAATGCCTTGTCTTTGACCAGTCCTCAAATCAAAACCCCTTTCCTACTAGGGTCTGCCATCTGTCACCAAACTGTCTCCTTCAAAGGCATCTGAGCTTTTTCAGAGTCTCACTTTCTCACTTCAAAGTTCTCCTAGCCTAAAGGCCGCTTCTGCACGTACCCAGAAGTTACAGAGATTTGAGACGCCTGAATAACTTCATGTCCAGGTCTCCCTGGAGCCTGGAACTTGGTGTTCTTCCAAGCAAGGTGTCTAAGAATGAAAGGAAAAAGTAGTATGAGTGCACAGCATGTTGAAAAGGAAGAGGGACAGACAGCTTGGGCCAGTGTCAAACCCATGAGTGACTGTTTATGTACCCGAAGGCTGGTCAATACAGTACAGCACTTGGCATGCTACCTATGCACGCTCTCTTTGGACTATGAATCGTGGCATTATTTTCTATGCAGTGAAACAGTTTCCACCTCAGCAAAGGACTAGGGTGCTCTCTGCTAAGCTATAGCTTAGAGGCAGCAATTACCGAACAACGGATTCAGCTCTCCAACATCCTGGCGAGTTCCTTAGCTGTTAAACTACTGTGTAAATTACAGGAAAGCCACGCAGCAGCAGATCTTTACAAGAAAGATATGTTTTAAGAGGAAGAGTGACCTATGCTCTGTTCTAGAAAGGGAAGGTTTATGCGCCTGCCTTCAGGAGTGGGCACTGGACTGTGACTGCGGAGCACAGGGAGCTTCCATAGCGAACAGCTGAGCTGTGGTTCCATGCTGAAGGGTAACCACCCGGACGTTGGGGATTAAAACATTTAACTCTCAAGCATCTAACCTCTAATTGCCTTGCTTCTTATTTCATTAAGGGGACATGACTTAGGGACTAATCCTGAAACCTTACTCAGAAGTAAAAGACCTGTGGTCCTCAATGACCACAGCCTATCTTTACCAGATAAAAGTATTCATGCTCAAAGAGTCGTTGGAAGGACAGGGTATTTTACAGCCACCTCGACACTGCTAGGGAACACACGCTCCTCCCTGCAGTACGGCACTGGGCCTCTGCATCAGCAAACGAGCTCTGCTGGCACTGTAATTTTGCCTTGTCTTCAAACACAATGGGATTCTGATCAATTCTAAAACACTTTAACAGGAAATGTTTGAAAAACGAAGCAGATGTATTAAATAATAGGATCCATGGGGGAATGATAGCTTGGCCTGTTCATTTTCAAAATTCTTTTTCTGAACATTGATCCCTCTCCCCTTCAATGAAAGGCAATTGGATTCCTTTACCTTCTGGCCACCTTAAAATCAACTTGGCTCTCTTAATACCCTTAATTACATCTTTAAAACGTTAAGTTTGCCTATCACAGATAACGTAATGTCAAGATTACAATTTCAATATTTAGTCAGAACTTCCCTGTGAGGAAATATACCTTATACTACACAATGCTTCCTTTAATTGAGAAAGCATTAACACTTGGAATTAGAGTGACACAGTATTTAGTTGTAGCCTACATGCTTTCTTTCAAAAATATTTTCAGCCATTATGACTTCAAATGCGGAGGAAGTG